CTACCCCAGAGAAAATGCTCAGTAACTCCTCATTATGGGCACACACAGCAAATTGGGGCTTATAGGGATTGTAAGCATGTTCAGTGAAAAGGTGGCAGATTTCTGGTGTTGCAGTTTCCAGAACATTTTGTTCCCTTATTAAGAAGGAAGGAAAATAAAAATGTCTTGGTCATAAAGCACTTGGCAAATCACTTTAAGCTAAATTTAAACTATTGCTATGCTCCAGCTTCTCCAGCTCTACAATGTTTGATTGCTATATATACCAGGAGATATATATATATATATATATATATATATATACATACACACACCCTGTTCCAAATTATTATGCAAATTATATTTTTCTCATTTACCTAAATAATTGATGTAAATAACAGTCAGCATAATTCTCATGTTATCAACTATTAAGAGTACAATTCACATTTTATTGAACAAACCTCCTAACAATAACAGTATTTTTTTTAAACATAAAAAACGTACAATACACTGCTCCAAATTATTACACACAGTAAGTTTCAAAACACTTTGTAGGTTGTAAAGAACTGAAAATTGTCATTTATTGTGTTTGCAGCATATTTACTGAAATCAAACGCTATTTCAATCAAACTTTTAACAACATTTTAACTTTTTAAACATTTTAACAGGTCACGTTACATTTTAACATAGGACCCCTTATTTGATAGCAGCTTCACAAGTCTTGCATCCATTGAACGTGTGAGTTTTTGGACAGTTTCTGCTTGAATTTGTTTGCAAGATGTCAGAATAACCTCCCAGAGCTGCTGTTTGGATGTAAACTTCCTCCCACCCCCATAGATCTTTTGCTTGAGGATGCTCCAAAGGTTCTCAATAGGATTGAGGTCAGGGGAGGATGGAGGCCACACCATGACTTTCTCTCCTTTTATCACCATAGCAGCCATTGATGCAGAGGTATTATTTGCACCATGAGATGGTGCATTGTCATACATGAAGATGATTTTATTACGGAAAGCATAGGTCTTCCTTCTGTACCAGGGAAGAAAGTGGTCAGTCATAAACTCCACATACTTTGTAGAGGTCATCTTTACACCTTCGGGGACCCTAAAGGGGCTGACCAGCTCTGTTCCCATGATTCCGGCCCAAAACATGACTCCACCACCGCCTTGCTGACGTTGCAGCCTTGTTGGAACAGGGTGGCCGTCCACCAATCATCCACTACTCCATCCATCTGGACCATCCAGGGTTGCACGGCACTCATCAGTGAACAGGACTGTTTGAAAATTAGTCTTCATGTATTTTTCTGCCCAATGCAGCCATTTCTGCTTGTGAGCATTGGTTAGTGGTGGCCGAATAGAAGGTTTATGCACAGTTGCAAGACTCTGGAGGACTCTACACCTTGATGTCCGTGGGGACTCCAGAGGCACCAGCAGCTTCAAATATCTGTTTGCTGCTATGTAATGGTATTTTAGCAGCTGCTCTCTTGATTCGATGCATGGATCTGGCAGAAATCTTCCTCAATGTGCCTTTATCTGCACGAACCCATCTGTGCTCTGAATCAGCCACAAATCTCTTAATAGTGCGATGATCACGCTTACGTTTTCGTGAAATATCTAATGTTTTCATACCTCGTCCAAGGCATTGAACTGTTTCACTCTTTTCGGCAGCAGAGAGATCCTTTTTCTTCCCCATATTGTTTGAAAATGGTGCTCTGCTTAATAATGTGGAACACCCTCCTTTAGTAGTTTTTCCTTAAATTGGGCTCACCGACCAATCTAATTATCACAGGTGTCCGAGAATGTTTTCAGTGATCAAAATAGCCCTGAGACACAATGCCATCCATGAGTTAAACTGAAAAACAAAATATTTAATCTTTGTGACACTTAAATAGAATTTGCATAATAATTTGGAACACGGTGTGTATATATATATATATATATATATATATATATATATAGCAAAATTGTCTGATGCGTGTTAGTTTTTTTGTTATTGGTATTAAATAAACATTACAGTCATAGAAATGACATCACAATTAGTGGAGGAATATCCTATTGGAGGAAAAATAATAAGGATACACTTGCGATGACATGTAAAGGCCACAGGAAGAGGCACACAACATCTGTAGGGTTGAAAAGCAAAGCATCAGGAAAAGCATAAAAAGCTCTAGTATCACATATATGAAATATAGTATACTGCATGTTTGCTGTTTTAGCTACTAATCTCGTGGTTTACACACGCTTTCTATGCTGTACAGCCAGGCAGATGATACACAGTTATTTATTAAAGAGTCACTACCACTTTCTCAAATTCATGGCAGTGACAGTGCCTCCTAATAGCCTAATACCCAGAAAGGTGTACTCATAGATCCACGTTCCATGTTCCTGCTGGCCACCTCCCTATTGCTGGAATTTGCAGAGTTTAACCAGGTTGATGATGCTACAGCCCCCCTCCCAACTCTGAGCAACTGAGCTCTGGTGGATAGGAGGGGTTGTTGAGGAAGATGACATTGATTATATACCTTGCATGGGGTAGGTGGGCTTTAGGATAAGGAGACACTGCCACCTGGCCCTAAATGTTCAGCAATGCAACTTTCAATATCACCTGTTCATCAATATCTGACCTCTGTCCAGTGAGCAGGGAGCTGACCTATTATTTTATTATACAGTACAGTATTTATATAGCGCCAACAGTTCGTTCAGCGCTGAAAGCAGTAAATCTAACCTGAGACAGCAATATGAGTGACCCTACTAATAACAGAGGTGTGCGTACCACAGGTTGGTTGGCCAGTATGTTCCCAGGGATGAATGCCTGAAACACAAGCAGTTTTATTTACCTTATCCTTAGCTCTCCCCCCCTCCCTTCCCGACAGCCAGCGCTCTACTCCCCCTCCCTTCCCGACAGCCAGCGCTCTTCTCCCCTCCCTTCCCGACAGCCAGCGCTCTTCTCCCCCTCCCTTCCCGACAGCCAGCGCTCTTCTCCCCCTCCCTTCCCGACAGCCAGCGCTCTTCTCCCCATCTCCTTCCCTACAGCCAGCGCTCTTCTCCCCCTCCCTTCCCTACAGCCAGCACTCTTCTCCCCCTCCCTTCCAGACAGCCAGCGCTCTTCTCCCCCTCCCTTCCCTACAGCCAGAGCTCTTTCTCCCCCTCCCTTCCCGGCAGCCAGTGCTCTTCTCCTCTCTCTGACACTCTGGGTTATGGGCCTACCCTCTGCATCCTCACTTACAATGCAGCATCAATGGTCCTGCATTATACCTGGTGACAGGGCCATGGATAAGAGGGTGCCATGAGTCCTCCTGTATGGGTCCCAGGCCAGCAGGGGGGAAAGTCAGCTGGGTTAATCTGATATAGGCAGGGAGGGTGATTGGCTCGGCAGGGAGGCCATTACTGGAACTGATCCTCTGTGTGGCTTTTTTTGCAGCAGCTCAAAGCTGGCTTATTCTCTTGTTCTTCCTGCTGACTTTCAGCTGCTGCAGAGAGAGCCATTCAGAGGATCAGTTCCAGTAATTCCCCCCCACCTTCACCCTTTCTGTGCATCATATGTTTCTTCCAGCTGCCCAGGACCCCCTGTGTGCTCCCACCCCCTGTGTGCTGCTGGCTTCCCTTCTCACTGGCATTTGCAAGCACACACTAGGATCCTTCAGAACAGAGAGTGGAGGAAGGGTCAGGTAAATATATCACATTTACCAGCCCCTTCATTTCCTGAATGAGCAAAATGAATGACCAGTACCGATCACTCACTGTGTCCATTCATAATTGAAGCCTACTAAACTGTGCTTGTTTTTTTTTAAGCGGGCCTGTCAGGTTGGCTGTATGGGGCCACGTGGTTTCTAACAGCAGTCCTGCATGGTGACATCAGTGTCTGTGATGAGGAGAAACAGCCTCTGGTGAAGAGTTGCCACCTCATCCCTTTAAAACTGAACACATTAATTACACAGGTTCTGTGGCTGATTAAGGTGTTAATTAAACTCACTTAGAGCCTTATCTGCAGTAAATTAGCCCCAGAACCTGTGAAATTATTATGTGTTCAGTTTTAAAGGGATGAGGTGGCAACCCTACTCTGGTGACATGTCATACAGCTGAAGAAGCAGGAGGGTTGGCTCCACTACAATTTAAATTTCTATTTTACCAGTTCAGTTTTTTTTTAATGCATTTAAAATAAATGGGGTGTCTTAAAGCTTGACAATGTGTTGTGTTAACATAGTCTGACTAGGCCTTAGGCTAGGTTCACACCTATGCAGTTTGAATTTGAGCCATTTTGTATTTTTGCACCTGCGTTTTTACTGCGTTTTTTTTTCTTGTTGCTAGGCAGATTTAAAACACAAAATGCATCAAAAACACACTACATGCTTTTCTGCAGCATTTCCATTGAAGTCTATAAAAAACAAAAATGCAACTTTTTGCATTCAAAAAAGTTCCTGACCTTTTCAAAAAGATGCACTGGGTGAAAACGCTGCAATGTAAACGTGTCCCATAAGAAATAATGTTAAATGGACTATACTGCGTCTCTACAAAACGCTGCGGAAAACACTTAGGTGTGAACCTAGGGTTAAGGCACTCATATGTCCACATTTACCGAAAAGTGCAAAAATATGTACAGAATGTGACTGGCTCACTAAGCAGTGAAATGCAAATATGTCAAGTAAAGAAGCAAGTCTCAAAAACCCATATGCCATGCTATCAGAGCAAAAATGGCATTGTATGGCCAGGCATTTAGCATTGGAAACCCTAATCCTAGCACCCTAGTATGGAACCTCATATATTGGATGAGTGATTTGTACAGAGCTGTACAATACCATAGAACCCTGAGTGGCTAAGAGTGTGTGTCATATATATATATATATATTTCAATGGAGTTCAGTTTTTGACTAATGAAAATAACTTATTAGTGGTGGAGAAGTTCCTGTTACTTTAATATCCAACTATGACTGTAATAATATGTCATATGTACTTAGTGAAACATAATGCACATCTCTTGTTATCATTTCATTTTAAAGACTCTGCCTTTTTTTTTTTTCTCCTGTCCAGGTTTGCAGAGAATTCCAGCGTGGAAACTGCACCCGAGGTGAAAATGACTGCCGCTATGCGCACCCAATAGATATTGCCATGATCGACACCAACGAGAACACTGTAACAGTTTGCATGGATTACATCAAAGGCAGATGCTCTAGGGAGAAATGCAAGTACTTTCACCCCCCTGCACACCTGCAAGCCAAAATAAAGGCAGCTCAGCACCAGGTGAACCAAACAGCCGCAGCTGCTATGGTAAGGGCTTGCCTAGTCTCTTTCTCTGGAGTCTTGCTGTCTGGGGGCTAATTATTATGTACTTAACCCATTGTGGGCCTGAGGTTTTACACTGTTACTCATTGTTGGAACTGCTTACTAAAGAAACACTGGGGTAGGTTCATAAAAAGTGGAGGACCAAGAAACTTCTCTAATGCTGATATTTAAAGTGACTGCTGGAATCTGATTGCTCTAGCAATAGAGAAATTTCTCACCTTTTAGAAATTGCTACTATGTAAATTTATAGGAGGGCATACATAATATTTTTGCAGATTGAAAACAGCCTTTTCCGTTCTTTGTATATTTTTTTTTTCTTAATTGTTCATTTTTTACACAGTTTTTCAGCCGCCTTTCTAAACCCAGCAAAGGCTGCCGAATGGCCCTATACACATTTTTGCAGCAGTGAGGCTTTGCGCTGCAGAAAAGTAGGGCATGTTGCTTGCAACAGGTGATACCACCTGCCAATGTGACCCATAGAAGAAAATGGCACCATGTCACAATTGTACTGCAACCGCATTTAATGGACGTGGTTGCAGTGCAGTGAAGAGGGTAGGGTTGCCACCTCATCTTTTAAAACCAAACACAGATTATTCACAGGTTCTGAGGCAAGTTTAATGCAGATAAGGCAGTGGGTTGAATTACCACCTTAATCAGCCCCAGAACCTGTGTAATTAATGTGTTTGGTTTTAAAGTGATGAGGTGGCAACCCTAGAAGAGGGACTTTAGTATGAATTCCCCCTTTAGCCTGGGTTCACATATGTGCAGTGCGGTACATCGCATGTGATTCGCACAGGAACCGCACCGCATTCTTGTGCAAACCACATGCAATTTGTGTGCGGTGCGATTGGCGCCATACATTTTGTATGGCTCTATTCGCACCGACCCGCACCAAAATCATGCAGACCCTTTTTTGGGTCTGCACTAGAATCGGATCACATAGGTATTCTCACCTATGCGATTCTGCACATCGCACCGCGTTTTGGAAACAGCTTTCGGGGTGTTGTTAACTAAACATACACACCTGCAGCAGTTCGCATGAACGGGGTGCGATTCTGATGCGGTGCAGAATTCACACTGAAAACGCTGCGAATTCTGCACCACATCAGTGTGAACCAGGGCTAAAATGGGCTGTCACTTCCTGATCACCTGCTAACCACAGACTAGATGCTGCTAATCAAGCTATTCACCATACACCACAAGACAGCAGCATTACCCATGTAAAAGAGACCTAACAGGCAAATTTGTGTATTTTCGTAAAGAACAGAAATTGCTTGGTTTTCAGCCTGCAAATGTTTTATAGATGCCTCCAGCAGAATGATGGTCAAACTGCTAAATTATTGTGTAAAATAGATATGTATATGTTCTTGTAATACACACACCTTTGTATTCAGATCACCCTGCTAAGACTCTTGGTTTAGCATTACTGGTCCCTAGTAGAAATCCCTTGCCAAGGTAAAATTGTCAAAAGTTAAAATATGTATTTCAACTGTGTATTTAGCAGTTTCACCTAAAATATATCTGGCAAAATTTTGAAATGGTCAAATAAGCATTAGATGTTTTGTATGAAAATGTATGTGATAACATTCACAGAAAATGTGTAAAAGTGTCTGGAACTGATCATACGAGAGAAATAGATATTATTTTTACCCAAAGCTTACATACTGTCCAATAATTCCATAGAAGAGTACTACAAATGGGCCTTGAAATTTTCTGTAAAGAGTAACTCCACTTTTGTTGAGAAAAAAACATTGCCCTCTGGGCAGGGGCGGATTGACTATTCGGGTACTCGGGCACTGCCCGAGGGCCCGGGCTCAGTAGGGGGTCCCATGAGATGCCCATGGTACCTTTCATAGGCTTTTGTGGGTGTGGTTTGAGTGTGGGTGTGGACACAGGGGCCCCATGATCCCCTATTGCCCGGGGACCCCATGAGTTGTCAGTCCAACCCTGCCTCTGGGTGATCTATGTACATTGCACGGATTTTCACAAATCTTGTTGCAGATACCTACCTTTTGTTATTCTAAAGAAATATATGTGTGGGAGTGACTTTATAATCATCAATCAGCTGCTGCACCTGCAGCGCTCTGAGGAAAGTGTCAGGGTCTGCATCACTTTAGATGTGATTTCCCTTTGGGAGAGTGTCGTCAAAAATGACATTTTTGTTTCAAGGGATGGTCAAAATCTGACTTGCATCTTTGGCTTAGTTCACACTAGCTTTGAAAGCAGACGTTTGAGGGGCGTTTTCAATGCTCCTCTAAAATTTATGGAAATGATACTATGGGCAGCACACAGTGCTGCTCACATAAGCAAAACATGAAGCGTTAGTGTCGCGTTGCTTCAAAATTGAAGCCTCATGTCAAGTCAGAAGGAGTTGAAGCCTTTCAACGCCTCCCATTCAAGCCTATGGTAATGCTTCTCAAACGCCTGGTCGGCGTTTTCCTGCCATTAATTCCATTAGAGTTTTATTATTAGCATTTGTAGTGTGGTTTTAATGCCTGTAAAACGCCTATAAAACTCCTCAAAACTGTGCATAGGGCTTTGGGGGAGCGTTTTTTTTAACGCTTGTAGATCACCCATAGTAAAGCTCATTAACTCATGTCTACCACTATAGGGGCATTTTTGAAGAGGTAGAAATGTAGTTAAGTGTGAACAAGCCCTTAGTACAGATTTCTGGGAAAATCCGTGAGCCAACCACACAAGCAGGAAATGACATTTCTGGGGGGCATTCTGTACATCATCTGTGCACGCCTCCAGGTTGCCATATTGCACTGAATTTTACAGAAGATTACAGCAGCAGCAGATAGAAAAGGAAAGGTGTCTTTTAATAACATTCAATTACAATATCACTTGTGTAGCAATTGTACTTGCTATATATTTTTTTTTTTTAATTTGCTGTTTTTTCCCCACTAAAGTGGAGTTACCCTTAATAGAAATACATCTGGGCAGTGTGGAAGAAGAGCTCATCTTGAGTGAAAATCTCATATCTAAATGATCACTACATTCAGAGATATTGGAAGGTATACCTTCATGCAAATCTTGACTATTCGAGCAAAGATACATTTGGCCTCCCACCCCTTTCTTGGTCTCTGAGACCAAGAGAAGAATCATTAAAATACTAGATGGGCATGCATCCGTGTCTGCACAGCAAAGTTAAAGTAGACCTTAAGGCAAACCTTTTTTTCTTTTTTCATTTTGGATAAGGGTGAGTAAGAGTGTTATAACAACTCTCAGGTCTTTTTCTTTTTTTAGTCACCGGTGTCCCATTGAGGGGACTCAGGGTGCAGACAGCAAAACACTACATGACAGGTGTTCTAATCCCTCTCACTCTATTCATAACTTAAACAAAAAAAAACAAAAATCTGCCTTTAGTTAAACTTTAAATATACGATCAGCTATTGCTGCTTCGGTACACATGGATACTTTTACAAATTTGTGAATGCTGTTATTTCTGTTATGAAAGTTAGCCAGTGGAGTACCTTTGACATGCGTTTCAAACTTGACAAGTGGGCTAACAAAATCAGGTCCCCTGCCAAAGTCTCAGCAGTAGATCTTCTATTTATGTCAACTCGAATTCTAAAATGCAAACCTGCTTATTGGCCCCAATCCGCCTGTAGTTCTTAATGTGTGGTTAGGGCCTCATGCACACTTGAGTTCACAAAACCCTGTTTTACAGTCATTTGACTTTTGTTTTCTGCCTCTAAGCACCCCTCCATGTTAGCCTATGTGTCCATGTACACATATGCATTTTCAGGAGTTTACAGGCAGAAAAAAACATCTCTAATGCATTCAAGAGAAGAGCATTTTAGCACAAAAAAAAGCATGACACTCCTAAATATGGGTAAATGCGCCTCAACGTGCCTAAGCTGTGATGTCAATCAACGGGTCCCAGGCAGAGATTCCCCACCAGCACCCGGCAATTGCCGAGAAACAGTGACAGGGGAGAGACCTGTGTATAAACAACACAGGTCTCTCTCCTGCAAGCAATAACATGCTGCTGTGTATTTCCCAGCACAGCAGCAGAGAATTACACAGCAGCATGTTTCCCTAGTAAAACACACACAGTACACACACTAAAACAGCACAAGTTAACCTTTTGATCGCCCCAGATGTTAACCCCTTCCTGCCCAGTATCATTAGTACAGTGTCAGTGCTTTTTATTAGCACTGATCACTGTAATAGTGTCATTGGGATGTCAGTGGCAGCTAGTCAGTTCCCCCCCAGTGTCAGATTGCTTGCCGTGGTCCCATAGTCCTGCTATAATGCGCTGATCGCCGCCATTACTAGTGTTAAAAAAAAAAAATCCAGTATATATACCGCCATTTGTAGACGCTATAAATTTCACGTAAACCAATTAATTTACATTTATTGGGATTTTTTCTTTAGCAAAGACATGTAGCAGAATACATTTTGGCCTAAATTTATGACAAAATTTGATTTTTTAAAAAAATTTTTACTGGACATGTTTTATAGCAAAAAGTAAAAAATATTGGGGCTTTTTTTCAAAATTGTCAGTCTCTTTTTGTTTAAAAACGCACAGGTGATCAAATACCACCAAAAGAAAGCTCTATTTGGGGGGGGGGGGGGAAAGGACATAAATTTCATTTATGTACAATGTTGCATGACCAGTTGTCAGTTAACATAATGCAGCGCCATATTGCATAAAATGGCCTGGTCAGGAAGGGGGGTAAATTCTCTGGAGGGCAAGTGGCTAAAGTGCAATTTAGCATATCTTTAAGTGCTATTAAAGGCTGATTTTTTTTTTTGTTTAAAAATAACAAGCCTATTATGCTCACTTGCTCTGTGCAATAGTTTTGCACAGAGTAGCCCTGATCCTCCTGTTCTCAGGTCCCCCCGCTGGCGCTCCTGGTCCCTCCCTCCTGCCTAATGTCCCCATAGCAAGCAGCTTGCTATAGGGGCACCAGAGAAGGATCACTCTTGAGCCTCTGCTCTGTGTGTTCATTCACACACAGAGTGTGGCTTACTGC